TCCCTGTCCCCTCCCTGTCCCTTCCCTGTCCCTCTGTCCCCTCTGTCCCCTCCCTGTCCCTCTGTCCCCTCCCTGTCCCTTCTCTGTCCCCCTGTCCCTCTGTCCCTCTGTCCCCGCTGGCTTCCCGGCCCGGATTATCCCGGCGGGGCGGTCCCGGTCCCGGTCCCGGTCCCGGTCCCGGTCCCGGTCCCGGTTCCGGTCCGGCGGGATGAGGCTTTAGGCGGGGCCTGGCGGCGGGGATTAACCCCTCCCTGCCCGGCTGGGCTCGGCAGCCCCGGGCGGGGTCGGCCCGGTGGCCACCAGGTCCCGGTGACAGCGGGGTCTGTCTGTCCTGGTGACAGCGGGGTCTGTCTGTCCCGGTGACAGCGGGGTCTGTCTGTCCCGGTGACAGCGGGGTCGGTCTGTCTGTCTGTCCCGGTGACACCAGTGTCTGTCTGTCTGTCCCGATGACAGCGGGGTCTGTCTGTCCTGGTGACAGTGAGTCTGTCTGTCTGTCCCAGTGACAGTGGGGTCTGTCTGTCTGTCCCAGTGACAGTGGGGTCAATCTGTCTGTCCCGGTGACACTGGTGTCTGTCTGTCCCAGTGACAGTGAGTCTGTCTGTCTGTCCCGGTGACAGCAGGGTCTGCCTGTCCCATACCGCAATAACAGCGGGTCTGTCCTGGTGACACCAGTGTCTGTCTGTCCTGGTGACAGCGGGTCTGTCTGGGTGACAGCGGTGTCTGTCTGTCCCAGTGACAGTGGGGTCAATCTGTCTGTCCCGGTGACACCGGTGTCTGTCCCAGTGACAGTGGGTCTGTCCCGGTGACACCGGTGTCTGTCTGTCCCAGTGACAGTGGGTCTGTCCTGGTGACAGCGGGTCTGTCCCGGTGACAGCGGTGTCTGTCTGTCCCGGTGACAGTGAGTCTGTCTGTCTGTCCCAGTGGCAGCAGGTCTGTTTGGGTGACAGCGGTGTCTGTCCCGGTGACACCGGTGTCTGTCTGTCCGTCCGTCCCGCGCAGGGCGGGGGCATGGCTGGCGCGCGGCCGCCCCGGTTCCTGCTGGTGTTCGACTTCGACGAGACCATCGTGGACGAGAACAGCGACGAGTCGGTGGCGCGGGGCCGGGCGCTGCCCGCGGCGCTGCGGCACGGCCCGGCCGGCGGCTCCTACAACGAGCACATGCGGCGCGTCCTGGCCTTCCTGGGCGAGCAGGGCCTGCGCCCCGCCGAGCTCCGCGCCGTCTACGAGAACATCCCGCTGGCCCCCGGCGTGGCCGAGCTCTTCCAGTTCCTCTCCAAGCACCGCCAGCACTTCGAGCTGGTGCTCATCTCCGACGCCAACACCTTCGGCATCGAGGCCAAGCTGCGGGCGGCCGGCGCGCTCTCGCTCTTCCGCAAGATCTTCAGCAACCCGGCCGGCTTCGACCGCCGCGGCGTCCTCGTGCTGGGGCCCTACCACAGCCACACGTGCCCGCGGTGCCCGCCCAACATGTGCAAGGGGAAGATCCTGGGCGAGTACCTGGCGGAGCGGGCGCGCGACGACGCCGAGTTCCGGAGCGTTCTCTACGTGGGCGACGGCGCCAACGACTTCTGCCCCGCCGGGGCGCTGCGGGCGGCCGACGTGGCGTTCCCCAGGAAGGGCTTCCCCATGCACCGGCTGATCCAGGAGAGCCGCGAGAAGCAGCCCGGCGCTTTCCGGGCCGCCGTGGTGCCCTGGGAGTCGGCGGCCGAGGTGGCGCGGTACCTGCAGGAGCTGCTCCGCGGGGAATGCTGAGCGCTGCCACGCTGCCCGGCCCGGCCGCGCTCCCGGGGCGCTCCCGGCGCTGCCCAGCTCCGCTCCGGCTTCCCGCGGGCCCCGGCCCTGCCCGGCCCCGGAGCCGGCGGCCCCCGCGCCCTTTGCCGATTGCTGCGGCGGTTTTCTCTTCCTTTTCCTCCCGAGCTCGAAAGAGAATTCCCAAAAATCCAGCAGCCGGCTCCCCGTGGGCTGGGCACGTCCCTGCTCCTGCCGTCCTCCTCCTGGCCTGCCTGGCCCTGGGAATTCCGGCTGGGAGATCCCTGATCCCACTGGGAGATCCCTGATCCCACTGGGAGATCCCTGCTCCCACTGGGAGATCCCTGCTCCCTGGGCTCCTGATCCCACTGGGAAATCCAGCTGGGAAATTCCTGCTCCCACTGGGAAATCCCTGCTCCCACTGGGAATTCTGGCTGGGAGATCCCTGCTCCCACTGGGAAATCCCTGCTCCCTGAGCTCCCGATCTCACCGGGAATTCCGGATGGGAGATCCCCTCTCCCTGGCCCCCCCAAGCCTGTCCCCGGGGGTTGATTCCCGGGATAACCCGTGCCGGGAGCACCGGGAGAGCTTTGGGAAGGGGGCAGAGCCTCTCCAGCCCCGTCCCGCGGGCACAGCAGGAGCAGGGCTTGGCCTCGCCCGTGCCAGCCCCGCTCCTCCCCCGGGCTGTCCCGTGCTGTCCCCGGGCTGTCCCGGGCTGTCCCGGGCTGTCCCCGGGCTGTCCCCGGGCTGTCCCCCGGCTGTCCCGGGCTGTCCCCGGCTGTCCCCCGGCTGTCCCGGGCTGTCCCCCGGCTGTCCCGGGCTGTCCCGGGCTGTCCCCAGGCTGTCCCCCGGCTGTCCCCCGGCTGTCCCGGGCTGTCCCCGGGCTGTCCCCGTGCTGTCCCCGGGCTGTCCCCCGGCTGTCCCCAGGCTGTCCCGGCTGTCCCGGGCTGTCCCCGTGCTGTCCCCGGCTGTCCCGGGCTGTCCCCAGGCTGTCCCCGGGCTGTCCCGGGTTGTCCCGGCCTGTCCCCAGGCTGTCCCGGGCTGTCCCCGCGTCCCTCCTGCCCCGAGCCGTTCCCTGGATCGTGCCGGGTCCCTCCATCCCCAGGGAATTCCCCCTGACCTGGGCACTGCCAGTGCCAAAATCCCCCCGGGGACACTTCTGGTCCCCAAAGGCCAAACCCCCCCCGCGCCGTGCGTGTCCCCCTCCCCAGCGCAGTATTAATTATATTAATTACCCCTTCTAATTGCACTCTGCAGGGGGCACCTCCAGGGCCCGCTGCTCTCTGGGCTTGGCTCCTCCTGGATTTATCCCGGGTTTATCCTGGGTTTGTCCGCAGCCTTAAGGGCGGCCCTGACCCCCCAAACCCCAGCAGGAAATAACCAAAGCAGCCCCGAGTTGTGCCTCCCCTGTCCCAGCCCCTCCACCTCGTCCTTCCTCCTCCTCCTCCTCCTCCTCCTCCTCCTCCTCCTCCTCCTCGACTGTGTGGAACTCAAAGCCATGGAATTAAAGATACAAATCGGTGCGGCGGAGGCAGAGCTGCTCTATTGCAGAAAGGAGAGCGGGGCCGAGCCGGGCCGGGGACA